AACGAGGCCCCTGTGGGGTCCAGGGGACGAAGCTCCCTTGAAGCTTGCGCAGTCTGGGCATTTTCACTACTTACTGGTTTGATTGATCTTTTCACTAAATTATGTCAAATACGTATGAAAACTTTAAAATAAAACTAAAAGTTATACTCATAAATTTGAACAAAGTACAGTACTATAATAAACTTTATTTATTCTTTCTTTTTATTCTTTATTTTTACTGGATTGGATTTTCATTAACATAGATAGTAATTCTGCTTTCAAAAATGCAAATTTTTAAAAAAAATTTTAAATGTACAAAGGTAAAAATCTTAACTAAATTACATTTGAATCAATAGAGATAACATTTTTAAATTCATTGATATTTTTTTCGGTTGCAGTTTTTTTAAATTTGAGCAGTTCAATTGGTTTGAAAGTTCTTTTACCTTGAACATTTTTCCAATTTGGTGTTAACGTTTTACTACTTTAACTGGGATGAAGTGAATCATTGAATTTAAACACTAATAAATATGATGGTGCTTGACCATTTATACCTTTGCTAGTTTCTAATACAGTAGTGGATATTCCCTCCATCTTTCATTTAGCGTGCTCCAATTTAGTGCTTTTAATAAATTATTATTATTGGTGTCATTATATCAGCAGAGAGCAGGACTCTACCTAATCTGTTTTGTAATATTTTGCTTACTACAATTTGTCCATACTGTAGGGGACTACAGTAATAAAAAATTGGCATTACAAGGGAATTTGCCAGCATAATACAATAGTTGTATGTGAAGGCAAATAGTATTTCACACACCGTATAACCCCTATACGTTTTGATACCTTTGATGATATACTTTATGATTTATTTGATTTTGCCATGTCAATTTAGGATAAAAAAAATAACACCTAAGTACTTAAATGATTGAATGTTAGTTCTATTATATTCAAGTGAAATATCTTTCTTAAAATTATTCAATAAGTGATTTGTACAAAACACCATTAATTTAGTTTTTTTAGTGAGTACCCAACATTTGCTTGGTATAAAATTAAAACTTTTTTAACAGACTCTTTTTATTCATGAATCACAATGTACTGTACTACAGTACTTTCATGTGGAAAACAGATAAACAAACCAACCATGCGCGGTGCATTTTACCGGGTAAAAAAAAAAGTGGTGAGGGCGAGTGGTTTTTTTTTTGGTTTTTTTTTTAATCGGAACAATAGAATATTTGTTTTTTTATTGATAAGGGGGGGACTTTTTTATTTGGCTAAATATGGTATAACAACTGGTTTAACTTTATTGTTTTTAAAGAAAATGTGTTTCCAGTCACAAAATTGATTGCATTCTGTTGTTATAAATCATGGACCCAAAAAAAAAACAATTTTTTATTCCCGAATAAAAATTTTCCAAATTTTCAACGCGGACAGGAGTGATAATCTAACAATTTTCTATGTGTTAAGTTAATAAAAACCCATGAAATTTCTCATATCTAAGACTAAAACCCACTCATCCTAACTGTTTAATATTGCTCCTCAAAATCCTGTACAAAATAACATTTGTTTCCTTATCATTCCCTATTTTTAGTTCTATCATCAGATAGCTTTTTAATCAGAGTAACATCTGAATCAAGTAGTCAGGAAGATGAAGAAAATGAATGTGGTAAGTACAGAGATGGGGCTATGTTTCTGATATGTTGTCCAACTGATTTTTAAGGCACAAAGAGCATATTTGAGGAAAAACTTGGAAACATTTAATGAGATCTGTTGTACAACATTATCAAAAATTGGTTTTTCTCCAGAGCCTTAATTAAAAAATATCCAAAATTTCATTTTGAGAAAAGCCTGAGATCAAAATTTGATGCATGGACAAATGAATTTAAGCTCAATCTTGTAAACACCCATCAACAAAATGGTTCTGTCAGATGTAACTGACATTTGTCAGATAGTGAATCATTCTGTGCCACCTGCCTAGCATTAATGGGAAATGTTTTTTTAGCCCCAATTAATGTTGTAATTTTAAAAATGCAGGAATGAAGGCACACTTAAAGGTGGTCTAATTTAAGAAAATATGACATTTGTACAGATGGAAAATTTGTAACATAAAAAAAAATTGTACTGTATTTATAAGAATTGTATTTACATTAATGTGTTATGACATTATGCTTTTAATACGAATATGAATGAACTTTAATATTTTTTAATAAAGGGGAAAGAATGCAATGTAAAAACAGTAATAGTAAAACAATAACATCATAGCTATCTATAAATTATTACAATTTGTGGAATATAAAAATTATAAAATATTAAAATTACATATATAATACAGATGTGGCCTTATTTTTCAGTTTGTGCTGAATTACAATTTGAGTATACGCCTACCTACCCGGACGAAGCCCCAAAATTCCAAGTTGTTTCCTGCAGTTTAGAGGAAGAGCATCAGCAGGCGTTATTGCAGCTTTTACAGGAACAGGTTAACTTGCGTATATTTAGGCCAAATAAAATTAATTGCTAGTTTCAGGTACCTGTCCTCATTAAATTTTGGAGCCTCATGAAAAATTTTACTATTTATTTTTCAAAAAAACAATCATGTTTCCATCATGGAAAATGAAAGTAATGACGTGGTGGAGACACAAATGGCAGAATATATACAAAGACTTTAAAATTGTTATACATTATGTAACAATTTTTATTATTTGTAATTTACCAAACAGTAATTACCCTCACCAAAAATGATTTCAAATCCGAGATGTGAACTAACAATTAATTTTATGTGGCCTTATATCTATATTTTTGAAAAGCATCATACTGCATAGCACTAAATAGCAACAAGAAGTGCATCATATACCTATGCAGGGATGTGTAGTTATGGTGGGCTGATGTGGGTGGGGCCGGCCAGCCTAGAGGTTTTCCACCCAGTCTAAAGCTAATTTCATAGCCCTCCACCAACCCCTATTAACCCACATTTCCATCCTTAAAATATACTCCTTTATAGGGTTTACCAATGCTGTCACCCACACACCCTTAGAATGTCTTTCACCCACTCTTGGTTGTCTACAGCTACAACCCTGCCTATGAATTGATAAGTAGTCTTTGCTTAACTCAAATAATTTTTAAGTCGATCTTATTGTACATTGCCAAATTGTTGTGTTTTCCATTAACAATCTGTAAGTCAAATTTTATTTAAGTCAAACTATTTATCACTACCACTTTAGATTCAACTTAAGTAAGTTTAACTGTATATTACAGTATTTCTTTCTGAGTGTTAATTCATTATGTTTTTTTTTCTTCAGGCTGAAGAAAATCTAGGAATGGTTATGGTATTTACATTAGTATCTGCAGTACAAGAATACCTTAATGAAAGTTTAGATAATATTAAATTAGCTCGTGAAAATGCCAAATTAGCAGAAGAAGAGAGACAAAGGAAGGAAGAGGTAGTACTTCACCAGAATTTCTTTTAATATTTTAAAAGATAAATAATCTCTTAATAATAATAATAATATTAATATTGTTGTTGTTATTAATATTATTATTAAATTATTCATATTATTTATTATATTAATATTATTAATAATAACTTTAATATTTTTATTAATTCTTTTCATTTAAACCATGCAAAAGCCCTGTTCTATCAAATTTTTTCCTAAAATTTTTCGGTATTAGGCCTGTATGAAATTTTATTCAATTAACTTTGTATTAATGTTGGGGTTTTTATTATTTTTTAAAACCTTGTTTTAAAGTATTAAAAAATGTTTGTATGTAAAATACCTTGTAATTCAGCTTTGTCTGCAAATACTCCGAAAGACCGAAAGATATATAAATATCATTCTAAAATCTGCACCTATACTTTTGATAAGCACCATATTTCAGGAAGGCCTTGATACATGTTATATTGACAATGTGTAAATCGGTTCAGTAGTTTTTGAGTTGTGCGTCCAGAAGGACACACTCACCATAGACACACATACAAACACATGCTATTGCAACACCAATGCAATGGTAGATATAGGTATGATTTATATACTCATATGAGACTAAGAATTGATTGATATACTTGAAATACACTTTTTTATCCCTTAATCACAATATTGTATACAAATTATTGTATTGCATGTTTTTATTGCAAATGTCAACATAACAATTATTTTTTTTCTGTTAAACTTGTGCAGGAAAAAGTATTTATAGGAACACCAGTGACAATAGAAACGTTTTTAAAATGGAAATCAAAGTTTGATGAAGAGTGTGAATCACAGCGTAGTAAACAGAAAACAGCTTCAGATGCTCAGTCAAAAAAAAGTACAGGTCAGTGTGCAATGGTGGATTTAAGTGGGTTTTTGAATAGGGAAACAAAAATTATGTTCCGAGTCTGAATGTCTGCGAGTGCCATTTCCTGGCCATCTAAAGGTGCCATAATCATAAGTTCTCTGACCTCAGCCCCACCGTGGGGCTGAGGTGGTCTAGACCCTTCATTCGTGAAAGTGCTTAGCGCATGACAAGTAATTTGAAGATTTACAAAAAGATTATTTGAGAAAGAAACAAATCCACTATACATACAATAAAATGTGTCTTGTCTTATTTAGTTTATATCAATTGGTCAACATGATGTTGAAATGATTTTTCATACATAACATAAAACGAATGTTCTCTTTTCATTTAAAAGATATTTTGTAAATCACTAAAGTTGAGATTCGATGTTGAAATGTGAAAATGCAATATTCTTTAGCAGGGGCGGATTTAGGGGGGGGCCGGCCCGGCCCCGGCCCCCCCCTTTTGGGAGGTAAAAAAAGAAAAAAGAAAGAAAAAGAAAAAAAATGATAGCCCAGAACGCCTCAAATGTTATTTT